CTCTTGACATTACCCTCCCACTTGTATCAGTCTAGGGAAGCTCTGTGTGGTCTCGAGGCATGGTGTCTGCCTTGAGTGCTAGAGGTTCCGGGTTCAAGTCCCGGTGAGGGCTGAGATTTTTTCACGTGGACTAGGATACGTTGTGCATTGTTGAATACACAATTTTTAATTTGTTCCTTCTTTTTTCCTTTGTATTTCTAACATTTTTTTTTAAATATGAAAAGAGTAGCCTAACGGCGCTACCTGGGCTAAATTTTGAGTTAAAAATCTACCTAAAGTATTTAGGATCCTCGCCGATGCTATTGTGCTGAGCTTTTTCTGACTCAGACTTGAATTAGAAGAAGAACAGGGCACTGATGGGTTGCTACCCGTATGCCATGATGTTGATCTGTTATTCAAACCTTGTATCAGTCTGCCTCTTGCCCTGTGTTTTCAAGGTTTCCTATAGCATGGTTTTGATGAGTCTTATCTTCTAATATGGTCACAAAATTTTACTTTTTTTTAAAAAATTATTTCATTTCTGTCAGCGACTCTTCTTTTATTCCGACCCCCCCCCCCCCCCCCCCCCCCCCCCCCCCCCCCCCCCCCCCCCCCCAATATTTACATTCAACATTTGATACATAACATTTACGTTTAAATTCAAAAGAAGAAATAACAAACAAATGATGTATGTCACATAGTGCTGCAAAAATGATGAAACTGTACACAGATCTCCCGTACTGGTTCACTCTGCTAGAGCAACTGTTTAACGCGCTGTCCATCCTCCGTCCACTGCCAAATGGGTCCCTGTTATCTGGTTGGCTGCGCTTGTGCATAAGAAGGCGGCAATTTCGCCGACCTGCAAAATTTAACAGGAAATGTTGGAAACAAAGGAACAGTGATTCATATTTAAAAAATGTTAGAAAAACACAGGAAAAATGAGGGACACATATTAAAAACTGTTAGAGTTGCACAGGAAAAGTGACACATATTATAAAAAATTTTAGAATTACACACAAAAAAGCGACACACAGGAAAAACGACATTACAGATACAAGAAAACACCGCAGATATATTACAAATGCATGTACATACCTCAGATACATTACACACACAAAATAACATCTCAGATACATTACAGTCACACAAAAACACCTCAGCTACATTACAAATACAAGTACATACCTCAGATACATTACAAATGGAAGTACATACCTCAGATAATTACTTACACAAGAAAACACCTCAGCTACATTACAGATATAAGAAAACACCTCAGATACATTACAAGATACAAGAAAACACCTCATATGCAATACAAATACACAAAAATACATTAGATACATTACAGAAACAAGAACATACCTCAGACACCTTGACAGGTTCCCCCGAAGGATGCACAGTCAGAATCTGTTTCTGTTTAAAAATGTGTACACAAATTATAAATTAATTAAAAACAGGTCACACGTTAATAATCAGAATCACATGACTTGCCAGATGGTGTATGTGTTTATGTCTCCACACAGACTTGCTCATGGCTTTCTACATTAATTCTGTTGATTTTCCCTGATACTGCTGCCTCAGATCATTTAGCATCATTTCACCATATTTTCCTCTGATGTACAAACAACACAGGCTTCTCAGCTGAAATGCAACATAAGTATTCTCAGAATACAATGGACCAAGAAGAAAAGGAATACTGCCATCCCAAAAGACCTGAACATCAAGGGGAGATTTGGCTAGTAAACAGCATCTTGTCTCTGATGCCACATCAAGCATCAAGGAGGATTAGAAAGAATAGTAGCAGAAGGCATGGTACCAGGAAAGACTGACAGGGGCTGGCAAAAGAAGAAGATGAGCACAGGATATAAGTAAAACCTTGGGTAGGAAAGTACACAAGGTGGGAGATTTGGTGAAAGGCTATCTTTTAGTCAGGTTTGCAATGACAGCAATGTTCTGCAAAGGACCTAACACACATTGATTATTTATAATAACACATTAAAACAAATTTGAATCTGAGGTTTCTAAAGCTGTTAATCATTTTGATACCTGTGAGGAAGACTATTCTGTGGCCAAATGGTTTTAAAGTTTGGTGCAGGCGAGCCTAGCTTATGATACTATAAAATCAAGTTTAAGAATGGAGGTGGAGGCGGTCACTGCAGCTTTCCGCTGGTTAGTGAACATGACACACACACATCGTGATTGTAAGTGACTCAGAAAGCATGCTGAGGGAGGTCAGGACAGGCATGCTTTGTGCAGAGTGGCATGCTTCGCTGCGGAGGACATGGGTGAGGAGTATTGTCTGGATTTTTTCTCTTGGAAATGTTAGTGTGTTGGGAAATGAACACGCGGACAGACTGGCTGGCTCTGCACAACTTGGTGGAATAATGATGCATGATAAGGCAGACATGGCTAGTGTCTTGTGGGAGAGCGTGTACAGTTCAGAGGAGCAGATGGATCACCAGTCTGGTGAGATTGATGTAGCGGGGAGTGACGAGGGGTTGTGGTTGATGCTTGAGGCTCAGAAGAAAGGTGAGACAGACGTTGAATCAGAATGTTGCTGGCACCATTAGTATTGGAACTCTGCGCTGGCTGATATAGATGGGGACGCAGCGCTTATGGGAATGCACAGAGTGCTGTGATGTTGGTTCTTGAACCAGCTTAACTCAAATTTTGATTTTTAAACATTTAGTAATTCGCTAAAGCATTCAAAAATACAATTTTCATGCTTTTAAAAACCACTAAACACAAAGAACTGGAGATACCATTCAAAATTGTGGATTTTTACTTTAACACAAGGCTGCCAATGATGGGGTTTTCCCCCTCAGATCTGGGTTTTCATTTGACACCTTGAGTTCAAATTTTTAAATCTGGGTTTCAAAAAAACAAATCCTTATATAAAAGTGGGTAAATGTTTAGTGTTGTAACTATAAAATTTGTACTTTTTAACATCTGGGTTTTTTTAATTTATTTTTTGTTCTTTGCTTATGTTTTGCTTGGGTTTTTGCTCAGCTTAGCTGGGTTCTTAAAAAAAAATCCCATTTGCAGACCTGCTTTTACACTTGCCACTGGTATTTTAAAACAAAAGAAGTATCACTGATCTTTAGCATGGTTATAAAGGAACGTATCAGATGCTTCTTGTGACCCAAACAATTTAAAACACTGTCTTTAAACTTAATTAGTAAGTATGAGTGCCATCAAACAGATTAAAAACAGCAAATTTATACGAACAATGTGTTACCAGTGCCAGACTTGGTCATTATCAAAGGCTGACTGATGCAAAATAAACACCTGTGAAATGAGATGCCTAACAAAAGCCCTCAACTTAACCATCCAAGATAAAGTTAGAAATGATATTATCCGACAGATGTAGGAACAACACCATGCAGCAAATTCACTGAGAAACAGAAGAGCAAATGGTTTGGTCATTTAGTAAGAATTCAGCCAGAAAGTGCCACACATGAAAAGATCTTAAGTGAAAGCAAGAGGCCGCCCTAGGAGAATATGGATTGATGACATTAAAGAGCTTCTACATCAATACGGAGTTATAATAGCTTTTGCTGCCCATTAAACAATGGATCGCAAACTGTTCCTCCCCACATTGCTTAACCGCAGAAGTGAAAATTGATGATGATGAGTATATTATAATTCAACAAGCTTAGATCAGAATCTAAACAGACTGTTCTCACCCTCTGCCACATTACGAGAAATGAAAGGGCAGATTAATGAGCAAACATTTGAAGTCATAAAGAACAGCTAGTTTTTTGTTTGTATTTTTTTTCCCAAGTATCCAGAAACCATGATTTATTAACCCTTTGGCTCAGTACTATGAATATTGCAACCCATCGGCCTTGATTCCATGATAGATACTGTAAATCTGGGAGAAATGTGGCTTTTCTGCCTATCCCCAGAACACAAGGAGTTCATCACCCAGTCGCCGCGCTGTAAGGTAAAACCAACAGAGCTAGCGAGCCAGGTGAACAGCTAGATACAGGTTGCACTTATGAGGAGAATAAATCTGATCTCAGTCAGAAGACATCATTGGAACACTTCCCGTCATGGACACAATCTTCAAGACCCGATCAAGTTTCTCACATGAAAGAAAGTTAGTTGAGTATCCTTTACAGGATGTTGCAGAATCGTTGGTTTTTCTAGGCTAATTTACGTCCAGTAGTTTGTCATTGCTTTCTGGATGGTCAGCTTTCTTGATATCACTGTCAAAACCAACGCAAGGCGAATGGCCTGCACATGGGATCAAACCCGGCATCACAAAGCGTTCGCATCGACTTAGCCACAGAGCCGACACATGAAAGAAACAGACCATTATATTTAGACTGCAGACTGAAAACAAGTCTGTGGCTTAGGAGTTATTGTAAATGTGCTTTGTAATGCTGGAGTGCCGGATTCGATCCCAGTTGTGGACGGTTTGTCCTGCGTTGGTTTGGTCAGTGGTAGTGAGAGGTGACCATTCAGACAGCAATGGCAAACTATAGAACATAAAATTTGCCTAGAACAACTTCAACAACCTAAAATGCTGGGGTTGGTTTTGCAATGTCCTGTAAAGAATCATCATCATCATCATCATCAGGTGCCTTGCCGCCGGCATGGGCGATCATGCCTCTCCATAATCCACGATCTCTGAATTCGTAATATTCTGAGGCATGACTAATTAGGGATAATACAGTGGTGGTAAAGAATATGCAACTAAATTAACTGAGCACAACAGACTTTGCAGCCATATGTACCAGAAGTTCAAGATTGGGGATTCAGAACTTTGTACATATGGACAGGCACCACAGAATACTGAATACGTGCTACAGACATTGCTCTCTACATGCAGCAGAGCGATCCCAGGTTTGGCTGGTTGGCATTCCAATGGAAACCATCTGTATAAAAGAGTTGAAGACCAGTTTCACACCAGAGACTGCACAGAAGCCTGTAGCCTTCACATCTAAAAACCACTGGCAAGGATATTGAAAAAAAAAAAAGATAAGCAAACGAAACAAAAACATAAATCTTACCTTTGCATCATCGATTGAGATGCCTTGATCTCTAGCTCGGTCCTCTGCCTGTCTGATGAATACTGAAATAACAGACAAAAACATTAATTTAAAAAAAAAAATTCAGTAGTATTTTATACATTTGTAATTCTAATGTCAAATCAGTACTGCTGTATGGAGCAGAAACATGGAAAACAACGAAGGCAATTACTTGTAAACTAAAAACATTCATTATCTTGTGCCTGCACAGAATAGAGGGAATTAAATAACCTTTATGCTGACTCTTTCACACTTGTTATGTTAGAAATCCCTCTGTCCATCAAGATTCAACCACTTGATGTCAACATTGACAAACCCTTCAAAGTTGCCAGGAGAGACGAATGGAACCAATAGATTCAGTTTTCTGGGGACAATCTGACACTAGCAGGTAGTGTGATGAAACTAACTACAGAAGTATGTATATAAAAAAAAGTATGATCCCTTTCCACGCCTTTAGGGGTAATGGGTATATGGGAAGAGCACCCATATTTATACAGACCATCGGCACTAGGTGAGTAATGTTGTCAGCATTACGCCGGCCATAGAAGTATGTAGCAGGGTGAAAAGATCCTGGGATATTGTGAAAATATAGATCGTTGTCAAGTTATTTATTTAAAAAGTGTGGCATTTCAAATGTTACAAATGGAACTGAGGATGAGGCAATATATGAAGACGGTGATACGTCATCAGACACAGACGAAGACAGGCTAATAACTATCATATGGATGAGACTTTTGACAGTGAGGAGGAGTTTTATGGATTCTATGATAAATAAAACATGAGTTCAATATCTTCATTTAATCACATAATTGTTTTCCAAATTTCCCAAGATCAAGTTGGGTCTTATACATGAGATCATCACCTTTTACTTGGGGAAAAACAGTGAGATAATAAAATGTAATTATGTGCTTTACAATATTTTTCTTTGTTTCTATGTTGAATGTTGAATTAAGAATCGACATCCCAGCACTCGGGACCCTCCCATAAGCGCTCCGTGTAAATCTTCAGCAGCAAGCAAAGAGTTAAAATTCCGATAGTACCAGTGATTGTATATCCGTCTCGCCTTTCCCCTGAGCATCGAGCACCGACCAGATCCCCTTGTAATTTCTCGCAGTGCCATTCTCCTCAAACCCTAATTAACTATCTGTGCCTCAGCATTGTTCACTTGCTCCCAATGGGCTTTGTTTCTATGAAAACACACAAATAGTTTCCACATTATGGGTGCTACAAACTGTTTATACAGATATTTGTTATTTTGTTATTTTGCTCTTTGTAAATTTTAACTGATGCCGAAAAAGTCACCATATTGGTTTTCTTTATTGTTTTAGAACTCTCCCCTTGCTGCTGAAGATAGGAACGGGGCGCTGATGGGGGTGTCCCGAGTGCTGTAATGTGGATTCCTATTTCAACATTCAAGGCATAATACTGCAAACTGATTTTTCTGGGTACAGTGAAATTTTGATCAATCATATCTATGCATTACACCTAGGTTTTATTTCTTTTTTTGTTTGTTTGCTTGTTATTTTAGGCAGAGGGCGCTGTGTTGTCTCGAGGTATGGTGTCCACCTCAAGTGCCAGAGGTTTCGGGTTTAATCCCCGGTTAGGGCTGATATTTTTTCACGTGGACTTGGACTTTTAGTAATTCTCCCTTGTCTCTGAGTAGTGAGATCAGACCCTCGTGTGCATTGTTGTGCACACACACAAAAATCTCTTGGCAGTTGGAAATCGAAAAGAGTAGCCTAACAGGGCTGCCCGGGCAAAATTTGGAGTTAAAAATCCACCCAAAAGTATTTCAGGATCCTCGCCAGTGCTACAGAGCCTGTGCATTGTGTTGAGCCTCTTCGGACTCAGGCTTGATTTAGAAGAACAGAGCACTCATGGGTTACACCCGTGTGACATGATATTGATCCATTGTTCAAAAACTCAAACTCTGATGGATGCAAAGGTTATAACATACTGACAAATGTCTCCTGATCTAGCACATGCATGGTATGGATCAAACATGTTCAGACAACAAACAGACAACACTTACAGGGAGTTTCTACATATCCCGGACATATAGCATTGCAGGTGACACCAGACCCTGCAGTCTCTATACCCACAGTCTATGAGAAACAAAGAGAAATATAAGAAACAAATAAATAAAGAGAAATACAAGAAACAAATAAATAAAGAGAAATATGAGAAAAAAATAAATAAAGAGAAATATGAGAAACAAATAAATAAAGAGAAATACGAGAAACAAATAAAGAGAAATACAAGAAACAAATAAATAAAGAGAAATATGAGAAACAAATAAATAAAGAGAAATACAAGAAACAAATAAATAAAGAGAAATATGAGGAGGAAAAAAAAGCAAAATATGAGAAACAAATAAACAAAGAGAAATACAAGAAACAAAAAAAAAAAACGAAGAGAAAAATCAAAGCAATGTTTCCCTGTTGTGAATTTGAACAAAGAAGACACAAACAAAAGACTGCATAATTTATTTCCTGGCACATTTCTCTGTATCTCCTCAGTTACACAGTACTGTAATAAAATCAAAACCTAATCTAGTCATCAATGGATGAAAGGACTGGTCATCATTATCTGTGAAGGACAAACAACAAAAACAACAGAAAAAATTGATTAAAATGAAGCATATAAACATTTACTTTTAACTGAACTCTAAAATCGACTACGTTTAAAATTAATTGTCGGTTTTATCAAAGCAAACACTGTAAACAAGGATGACACACTGCAAATTCTGCATACGTCAGCTAGCCGCAGACTACTGACAATGCATGCTGAAGGAGAGATAATACTGCATGGGTGACAATACTGCACAGGTTTTGTAAAATGGAGAGGAGGTATTTTATCCCTGGTCTTAACTGGCTACAATTCCCACGCATCTCTGTAACATAGTATAACATATCATCTGGAAAGACGGAAAGGTACCAACAGAATATGAATATCACCAAATGACCATTAATATCGCCAAATGTCCATTAATATCACCAAATAACCATTATTATCGCCTAATGACCATTAATATTGCCTAATGACCATTAATATCGCCAAAGGAACAATAATATCACCAAATGACCATTAATATCGCATAATGACCATTAATATCGCTGAATAAGCAGTTTTCCTTTAAAATAGTGTACAAGGGGTAGAAAAATTAATTCTGGCCGAAAAAAAGCACAGCAAAGAAGTGAATCTTTTTCTGAATTTGAAAAAAAAAAAATCATGTCTTCAGCACACCAACCAGGTATCACAATCGAAAATTAAAAATGTCACTGATTTCCAATACTTGAGTTCTTTAGTGAACAACAGCGGAGACTGCTCGAAAGAAGACTTGCATTAGCAATGCAGAAGTTAAAAATCATGAAGAACCTATGACAAAGCACCTGTAAATTAGTTAAAGTAAAAATCTTGAGATCATTCATTTTTTTCTGTGGCAATTTGCGGTTGTGAGTCCTTGACTCTCAATCAGTCACTGAAGAAAAAGACCAAAAAAGATCAAAAAGAGGAAAAACATCCACATACTAAACAAGTTAAACATCAAGGAGAACTGGCTCATAAACAGCGTTCTGCCCTGAAAGTTGAATTATTTTGACCACATCAAATGTCAGTGTGCCTTGGAAAAGAGGGCGATGACGGATGCAGTTTGTGGAAAGCAAGGTAGAGGTCAACCTCTGCAAAGAATGATATAAGTCACTTTTATGGTGCATTGGCATTGAAAGCACCCGGGGCCGGAGAGCTGGCTAGGGAAATGGATACTTTCAGGCACGCCGCGAGGAGAGAGTGTAAAGGACTTGCTGATTAATGATGAATGAGCATTAATATCGCTGAATGACCATTATTATCGCCTAATGACCATTAATATCACTGAATGACCATTATTATCACCTAATGACCCTTAATATAACCTACCGAGCATTAATGCCATTTAATGACCATTAAAGAAAGACAGAAAACGAAATCATGAAATCAGACGAATGCTAGGAATAAAGCCAGTCTTACAGGTCATCAAAGAACAACAAATGAAGTGGTTTGGACACCTAATAAGAATGCCCTGGTACTATCTACCACAGCGAGCCACACTAAAATGTTACAACGGGTTTGGAGCGAGTGGAAGACCTCAGAAAATATGGAGTGATGGCATTAAGAACAGCCTTACAGAAATAAACATCAGTCTTAATAGTGCTCTTGACAGAGCTCATCAACGAACATTACATCTCCCCCAGACACTTCGATGAGGTTCAAGGTGGAAGAGAAGAAGAAGAATTACCATTAATATTGCCGAATGACCATTAATATAGCTGACTGACCATTAGTATAGTCTGGCACTAACTCACCTTAGTGAATCCCATCATCCCATGTTTTATAGTGACGTAAGCTGTTTTGTACGGGGAAGCGACCAGTCCATGAGCAGATGCAATGTTGATAATTCGACCCCAGCCTGCACAATAGACACAAACTCTTTATTCTCATAGGGAAAGAGTATCTAGAACATGTAACAAATAATAGTTTTCTCATGGGGTAAGAGTAACTAGAACATGTTAGAATTAATATTTTTATCATTGGGAAAGAGTGTCTAGAACATGTAGCAATTAATAGTTTTCTCATAGGAAAGAATATCTAGATTATGTAACAATTAATAGTTTTCTCATAGGGAAAGAATATCTAGATCATATAACAATTAATAGTTTTCTCATAGGAAAGAATATCTAGATCATGTAACAATTAATAGTTTTCTCATAGGGAAAGAATATCTAGATCATGTAACGATTAATAGTTTTCTGATAGGAAAGAATATCTAGAACATGTAACAATTAATAGTTTTTTCATAGGAAAGAATATCTAGAACATGTAACAATTAATAGTTTTCTCATAGGAAAGAATATCTAGAACATGTAACAATTAATAGTTTTCTCATAGGAAAGAATATCTAGATCATGTAGCAATTAATAGTTTTCTCATGGGGTAAGAGTGTCTAGAACATGTAATTCATAGCTTTCTCATAGGGAAATAGTGTCTAGAACATGTAATTAATAATTTTCACATAGGGAAATAGTGTCTAGATCATGTAATTAATAATTTTCTCATAGGGAAATAGTGTCCAGATCATGTAGCAATTAATAGTTTTCTGATAGGGAAATAGAATCTAGAACATGTAATTAATAATTTTCTCATAGGGAAATAGTATCTAGAACATGTAACAATTTATAGTTTTCTCACAGGGAAAGAGTGTCTAGAACCAGTAATTAATAATTTTCTCATTGGGAAATAGTGTCTAGAACATGTAATTAATAGTTTTCTTTTAAGGAAAGATTGCCTAGAACATGTAACAATTAATAGTTTTCTCATAGGAAAGGTGTGTCTAGAAAATGTACAGTAGTTTTCTCATAGGGAAAGAGTGTCTAGAAAATGTACAGTAGTTTTCTCGTAGGGAAATTGTGTCTAGAAAATGTACAATATTTTTCTCATAGGGAAATAGTGTCAAGAAAATGTACAGTAGTTTTCTCATAGGGAAAGTGTGTCCAGAACATTTAACATAATAGTTTTCTCGCAGAGTAAAAGTATCTATAACTTTCTTCTTCTTTTTGTTTGTCTGAGAGACATAATTACAGTGAGCCTGTTTACAGCATAACAGTGATATGTGCAGACCTTTCAGCCGCATTGGATTGGCATCTGAAAAGTGACTCCTTGAGTCACTGGGCATCAAACATTCAGGTGGCAATATGAGAGGTGCAACCATCATCATCATCAATATCATGCAACCGTCATCATCAGTTGTTGTGCCAGCTGGCGTGGGCGACCATGCCTCTCCACATCTGCAATCTTCAACAGTATGTATCAGCTCATGTACTGACATCCCTCTATGCCAAAAGACTGTTCAAGAATAGTCTGACGTTGTCTGCCTCTGCCTCTCTTTCCACAGATGTTTCCAGTGATCACAACATGCTCTAGTTTCCATCTTCTCACAACATGACCAAAAAATAATGACTTTCTCTTTCTGGTGTTCGTAATAAGTTGTTTTTTGAGGCCTCAGATCTTTCAAAATGACTGGGCTGCTCCTTTGGCTGTCCAAGCAATTCTTAGGATTCTTCTGTAAACTTACATCTCCGAGGCATTGAGAAAGTGTTTGGCTTGTTTATTCTTTTTTCTTCTGCCTTTCTATCCCCAATAGAGCATAGGCCCTCAACCAACTCATGCCAAGTCGCTCTATCCTTCGCTATTACATGGCGCTCTCCCCATCTTTCATTCTCCAGCTCTCTTCTCCCTGTGGTTTTTGGCCTTCCTTTATTCCTAAGCCCCTATGGATTCCAATGCAAAGACATTCTAGTTATGCTGTTCTCCGGTTTTCTCAATGTGTGTCCTATCCAACGCCAGCATCTTTTCCTCACCTCTTAGTTCACTGGATGTCTGTTTATTAACCATATACAAACCAGCAAATATGTAGGCAACTGTCAGTCCCTGGGGACCATGGAGTTGTACCACTGGTTTTGGGAACAGCATCTGCTAGGACTGTAAAGTCGAGTGCAGGAGTGGCAGTCTCTGTCAGGTAGTCCCCCCCAAAAAAGTTGACATTCTGTTGTTCTGTGGCTGGTTTTCCCTCAGAGGTCTTCTCTCCATAGCTTGCTGCATTTGACATCTTGCAAACTATGACAGTCTGTCTTTCCTTGTCTGCCTCCAAAGGAGTTCATCTGCAGTTGATCTCTCCCAAGTATCTGTGTCAATGTTGATTCTAGTGATTAGTGATTACAAAAGATTATCATCACAGCACTCCGGACAGATTCATAGGTGCTCTGATGTCCTCCCCAAAAGCTCCACTAGTGTAAAACAACGGATGATGCCTGTTCTGTATTGGTTAATGAAACGTCTTGTTCCCTTAGTGAAATGTTCATTTCTTGCAGCTCCAGGCTGCATCCCCATGTCCATCAGTCTAGACAGGGATATACAGTTATGTCTTTTGGCATGCTCTTCGGCATGGTAAGTGCAGCGCATGGCATTGATAACATAACTTCTGTCCAGTACTGGACCAGCCATAGCAACTACAGTGTCAGCAAGATAGTCTGCACGCTCATTCCCTTGAACACCCGCATGACCTGGCACAAAGATTAAGGTTAGGGCAGCTATTCCTGAAGTGCTTAGTTGACATCTTTCAGGTCATGTCCGCATATGTCCTTATAGCACAGCACTGAGCTTCCTGTAGATCTGATCCCTGTTGCAAACCAGCAAAAGGTAAGGAGAAGTCACCACTGTATTTTCTTTAGAAAATCATACCTTTAAACAAAAATGAGGGGGAAAATAGAAAACAAAATAGAAACAATCACATCAACAGACCTTTTGCCTTCATGTTTCCAACACTAAACTGAGTGAGCTGAAAGGGAGCTGTCAACATCACAGAGATCATTTTGTTCCAAGTGTCCAACGGGAAGGACTCCAAAGGACATACATGCTGAAATCCTGTGAACATAGAACACATATGGACACGACTATTTATAATACAAACAAAGATATAAGCTGTAAAAGGGGACGAAGACATGTGACATTCTGACCGTGAGATGTTTTCTGTGTTTGACTTAATTTAGCAACAGGTATTTTGTGTTGGTGTGCCAGCTCAACAGTAGAATCATTCTTGTGTTAGTCAGTATTTGTCGGAGCTGGTTATGGTGATTACTTATGCGGCTATTCATTCATGTATTTAGTTATGTGTTAGTGATGTGGTTCATGAAAGGTTTGTCTGGTGAACTGACATGATCTGTCCACTCGCATTATCCAGAGCCGTGCAGTAGCACAGCAGTCCCAGTATAAAGTGCAGAAGCGTAGAAAAGAGCTTGGATCGGCTGTTGGTTAGGACCCAGGTAATGCCTGGAACAACTGGATGGCCAGCGTGTGAATGGTGATTGTAAAGCCCTAAAAGGCGGTTGGGGTAGAGTTGCGAACCACCTATGTGGTAAAGTAGCTATGATTTGTAGTAAATTATATTAAAGACTGATGTGTATGCTTTGTTAATGTTTGGCTGGTTGTGTTTAGGATGAGACTATTTCTGTCAAGGATCTGCCCAGGAGCCACTTGCCTTGACTGCATGCAGTAAAGAAAGTTCTTGACAGTGGCCATGTTCTCCCTGTCCATCCATGACCTACCTCATGCACTGTTAATCAATTGTAATAGTTGAGTTGAGCTGAGTCAAGAATTTACATCACAGCATTAGGAAAATTCCCATGCGTGCTCTGTCCTCATCTTCAGCAGCAAGCACAGAGTTCCAATACTAATGCTACCGGTCACAAGGTCACAATCTGGTTATATGTCAGTCTTGCCTTTCCCCTGAGGGTAGTGAGCTGGCAAGACCTTCTGGTTACACCCAGGTGCCTCATTCTCTCGTCATTATAATCTTGTTTCACTTCTGACTTTGTTGCTTGTTCCCAAAGGGCCCTGACCACATCTGCCTTGTCATGTATCAATTATCCACCCAGTGGTGCAAATCTAGTCAATCAGTCAGCCTGTTCATTCCCCACCATACCAGCACAGCCTGCAGAAAAAACCAAAGTATGCTCACTACCCGTGACCTTCCTAGTGAAGCTAGCCACTCTGCTCGAAGCATTCCTGTCTTCAAATTTCTCAGCATGCTTTCAGAGTCTGTTACAATTACAACATGTGTATGCATCTTGTTTTCTAGCCACCAGAGAGCTGCAGTTACCGCCTCCACCTCCATTCTCATGCTAGAAGTTGTGAAGTCGTTTGCTAGGCTGTCTTAAACTAAAGATTTTCAAATGGCTTTCGCTACGAACCCCCAGGCACTTCTCTTTCCTCTCACCACCAAACCATCTGCAAAGATAATCAGATCACTTGGGTGTGAATTGTTGTGATATAAGTGACTCTTTGTTTGGGTAGGACAGTGCATGAGCTGGGACAGCTGGTGAGAATATCTTTTAGGCAGACTGTCATGAGAGTGATGTTCTGAAAGGATCTGTTACATGATGATGAAATGCATAATAGTGAGAGGAATCTAAGCTCAGACGACAGTCCATTGTCTTAAAATAAACACTTCTGGTTATTATGGTCAAGAAGTCTCGGTGCAAGTTTTTTGATAACCAATGCACCACTGGGAGTTGAAAAGCATGAATGAAGAAAGATCTTCCAGCTGAAAGAAAAAGTAATTGGTAAGAATGTTCATCACGGCACTCTACATAGGTCCATAGGTGCTCTGATCTCCTCCTCAAAAGCTCTAAAAGTGTAAAACGTCTGATGACGCCTGTTCTGTGTTGATTAATAAAATATAGTGTCATCTTTATAAAATGTTCATTTCTCGCAGCTCCAGGCTGCACCCCAATGTCCATCAGCCTAGACAGGGATACAGAGTCATGCCCATTTGTTTGGTGTGCTTGTCGTCAAGCAAGTGGTGTGCATGGCATTGAAAACATTGCTTCTGTCCAGTACCGGACCAGCCGTAGCAACCGCAGTGTTTGCAAGATAACCCGCATTTTCCTTCCCTTGAACACCCGCATGAACTGCCCTGATGACTAAGGGTAAGGCAGCCATTTGCAAACTGCTTAGGGTTGCAGTCCATTCCTGTCTGAGGAAACCAACCTGGATTTGTATATGCATATTCACTGGGTCACTAAGTATGCACGCATGCATGAATTCTTGAGTACCAAGCCATACTAATGCCCTTCTTCTTCTTTTTCTTCTTCACGTTTACCAGCTGTAAACTCTGGCGGAAAGTTTTGGTTGTTCGTCCAATTTTGGACTGCAGTCCTATTCCAGAACTTGAGTGTTGCGTGTGCATTCCTTTGACAGATCTGACTCATTGGCATGCAGACTGCTGTTCCTTGCCTCTCAGGCAGATGTACTCTGACTTCAAAGGAAGCTCCCAATTATTTGGCTCTTACGACATGCTTTTGAGTAGGCAGTGGGTCTATTCTTGTTTTCCCTATATAAGGGCCCCGGAACCCACATAGGGATTGGTGCCCTTGTGACAGCCACAGTTTCAATTTTCAGGCTGCTAGTTGTAGCAGCAAAGGCACCATTGATCTCCTTGATGGTTTTCCCCCTTGAGCTTACTGTGAATGCATTTCACTTGCCCACAAAATACTGATCTGTCCATGTACACAGAAAGAAAAAGTAATGTTTAAGAAGAAGAAGGAGAAGAAATCTTTTTCTGTTCAAGTTTACTAAACAAAAAGATGAGTTCAGGCTTGAAATTTGGACACTTACCAGCATTGTTCACCAATATATCAATCCCTCCAGGAAATGACTTTAGAGAACCGTCGTACAAAGCTTTCACATCTTTGGGGTCCGAGAGGTCTCCGCCAATGTACACAGCATTAACATTATATTCACTAAAAAAATAATGTGATGCTTATTTAAAGATAACATTTTAATCACTGAAAGAAAAATATACTTATTAGAAGATAAAATTGTACTCAATGAAAGGTAATATTATACACACTATAAGATATAACACTATACATACTGGAAAATAACACTCTACTCACTGAATGAATGAAAGATAACCACCAGGAAGACTAAAACTACATTCACTGAAAGATAACACTAAACTCACTAGAAGATAGCATTAAACTAACTGGAAGATAACAATAAACTCACTGGAGGATAACACTACACTTACTGAAAGATAATAAACTTATTGAAGATAACACTATCCACAATGGAGGATAACACTACACTCACTGAAAGATAACAATAAACTCAACAGAAGATAACACTATAATTACTGGAGGATAACACAACACTCACTTGACGATAACACTAAACTCACTGGCAGATAACACTACACTCACTGGAAGATAACACTACAATAACTAGAGTAAAACACAACACTCACTTGAAGATAACACTACAATAACTAGAGTAAAACACAACACTTACTTGAAGATAACACTACACTCAGTGGCAGATAACACTACACTCACTGGCAGATAACATTACACTCACTGAAAGATAACACTAAACTCAACAGAAGATAACACTATAATTATTGGAGGATAACACAACACTCACTTGATAACACTAAACTCACTGGCAGATAACACTATACTCACTGAAAGATATTATATTCTATGAAAGATAACAGAGATGTTTACACTATTTTCATCAACAGCAATCATCAACGACTTGTCATGAGTTGGTTGAGGGCCTATGCTCCATTGGGGGATAGAAAGGCAGAAGAAGAAGAAGAATAGCAATAATCAACTGCTGCTAATTTTTTTCAATAACCCTGACATTTTCCAGTGCCAGTGTTTCTTTTTTTGTGTGTGTGGGTCCCCTGGCCAAAGAACAGTTTGTCTCTTTCTTATAGTTGTGTGTCATTTTCTCCTTTACTTAGTTTGCTCCAGGCAGTCATTCTTAATTACTCTGGATGTGTCTGTGTCTGTGGCTTCGGCACTGTGAACAAGCATTGTAATTCCAGGGTCGGTCCCAGCTGTGAGCGATTCGGTAGCAGACTGCCTTGCGTTTCATTTCAAAAGCATCAAGAACTAGAAAACAATGGCAAACTACTGAAGGTAAAAACTGCTCAGTAAAATCAAAAACAGCACTCCCAAAAATGCTAGGGTAGGTACTGCAATGTCCTGTAAAGGATAAGCAACTAACTTTAATTCTTGTTGTGCAAAGTATTCTTAACTAATCTTAGAAACCTTTTTTCCATTTCAGGGCTGTTTTATAATTCCCCATCTGTTTTATCTTAGAGGGTGCACAATATAATGTTACATTCCACCCCCCCCCCCCCTTTCACCCCCTTCCTCTTCTTATGCTGATACCATCAAATATTGTAATTTTTTTTTCTCTTTCCTATCTTTGCTTTTCTTGAATGCATCTGATTTAAATACAGAAGAAACAGCAGATTAAGTGGTTTGGCCATCTTGTTAGAATGCAGCAACATCAAATACCATCACAAGCACTACATCTTAAAAGATCAGCTACAAGAGCAAGAGGACGGCAGCGAAAAATATGGATTGACAACATTGAAGACACTCTACCCCTTCATGGCATGACAATAGCCAGTAGCAGCCAACATGCACTGGATCGCAAATTACTCCTCCCCACGACCTTCAACGACAGAAGTGGTTTATGAAGCTGATGATGGAACACAATAGATTATCCCTGTGTGGGTCCTTGGGCCCCACTGTGGGAAAAACAAGAACAGACCCACTGCTTTCCCAACAAGCATGTCGTAGGAGTCGACTATTTGGGGGCTTTCTTTGAGGTTGCAGTACATCTGCCCGGAGGGCAAGGAACCAAGAGTCTACATATCAATAAGTCAGATGTGTGAAATGGTTGTGCACACAACACTCTGGTCTGGAACATGACTAAAGTCTGGAGATGGACAGAACTTTCTACCAGAGTTTACAGCCGCTGAACGTGAAGAAGAAGAAAAAGAAGAAATAAAAAAGATTAAACAGGGTCATCAAGAATGATTGTTGCTGTTTTAAAAGAAGTATTTAAAGGATATACACATGTGGCGTCTTAAAATGTTCAGAAAAGTTTAAAGCTTTAGACTGACCTTAATACATTTCTATATGGGTGCCAATTCACTTCTATATGGGTGTCTTGATACATGACAAGACAGATGTGGTCAAGGCCCTTTGGAAACAAGATTATTATGGCCTGGAGAAAATGAGGCCCCTGGGTGTAACCAGAGGGTCTGGGTGGCTCAATACACTCAGAGGAAAGGCAAGATGGATATATAACCAGATTGTGACTGGTACCATCATTTTTGTAACTCTGTGCTGGCTGCTGAAGATAAGGATGGAGCATGCATGGGAATGCCCTGAGTGCTGTGATGTCAACTCAACTCTATATGTGTGCCATTTGTAGCTCTGTTGATATGTAGACAGTACTGAATTTTCTGGCACATGTTCATAATATTCACGTGGTCATGGCAATTGCTGCAGCGATCTTCTCTTTAAGATCCTTATATTCCTTACCTTCTCAGTGCAGTTGTAAGCTGACACCTCCATACAAAACTTTAATAAACTCATCTGAATATCTAATACTTCTTTTTAAATAACTGCAGGGTTCGTAGCCAAATTCCCCTACTATTTTGACAGGTTTTCAAGGGTTTTTCAAGTTATTTTTGCTTGTTTCAAGGGTGTACTGGGCACATGCAGTAATTTATTCACACATACATGTGTGGTATATTAGTGCAGATAAAGTGTTCTTACATCTTTTCTAGACCTGGTGGCAGAGGGGAGCAAACTGAAGTTCTCTCTGATCTAGACCTGGTAAAGAGAGGAAGGATGGAACAGATGAAGAGGGAGAGACAGAGAGGGAGACAAATAAAGAAAGAGGGACAAGCAAATGGGAAAATGAAGAGATGAGGAAGAAGAGAAATAAACATAAAAATAGGAGGGAAAAGATTAGAGACAAAGAGAGGGAGAAGAAGAAGAAGGAGAGAGAGAGAGAGAGAGAGAGAGAGAGAGAGAGAGAGAGAGAGAGAGAGAGAGAGAGAGAGAGAGAGAGAGAGAGAGAGAGAGAGAGAGAGATTAAACTGTAAATTTCCAGCAACCCTTATCACTGTACAACTAAAGAATTAAACATTCTTCGAATGACTGTAACTGATACCTCTTGAAGGACTTCACCAAGTTCTGTATAAGACGATCCTCTCCAAAACCATTGAGGATAATGTTAGCTCCTTTCTGAGCCAAAGACCGAGCCACACCTTCTCCAATTCCACCTGTAGACCCCGTCACCAAGGCCACACGACCGGCAAGAAATTCTATGACAAACACAAACGCCACCATTAAATTTGTTTTACTATTAACAAAAATTCTATAAAGAATCTATTTTCAACCAGCACACACATTTACTTATTGTACGCCAATCTCTCCTTTCCTCTTTACGTCTACCAGCTGTAAACTCTGGTGGAAAATTCTGGTTGTTCATCCAGTTTTAGACTTTGGTCTTGTTCTAGAATTCTTGTTCTGCATATAGATCAGTTTTAAGATCTGGCTTATTGATATGCAGTGTTGGTTTGTTACTTCTGAGACAGGCGCAAGCAGAGTTAGAAGGCAACGCCCCTAATAAGTCAACTTTGACTCCCACATGTGACTTCTGGGGCATATTTTGTGGAAAAATAAACAGACCTACTGTCACTATAACAAGAATTTTGCAAACGGCGACTAATTAGAGGCATTTTCTTTTAAGTGCTTTTAGGGAGGCAGTGAGTCTATTGTTTTTTCTCTCCATTATGTAACAGCAGAACCCATACAGGAAAGTCCACGATACTACTTGCATTCTTCTTTGAAAGTCCAATCTCAGATTAGCTTCAGACAAGAAGTACCTCCTGCATGAAACCATGGGTAGAGCTAAAGGTTACAGACTGACAAGAGGAATGTCTTGGATAGTGCAAGCAGAAGACACAACTGGACACGTGTGCAGGCTTGATAAATTTGGGCGAGGAGAGGAGTTGGTCAAGGTGTGAGTAAGTTTTAGACCTGTGCAGGGTTCACTTTTAAGGTTGTGAGTGCAGGGGCTGGCCAGCTGGTGCTGCAGAATAAGAAGTTCAACAAATGATTCATGACAATTTCTGCGCAAGTGATGTGAGAATCTATACAGATGGCTTTGTGATGAGAGTCAGACGAAGAGGCATAGGTGTTCACAGCAAAAGGGAATGGATGTCGCTTAGTGCAACAAAGCCTTGCATATGATATCACATCTAGTTTGAGAATGGACGTGGAGGCAGTCAGTGCTGTGTTCCACTGGCTTCAGAATCAGCTGTAAACACATGCCGTGATTATACTGACTCACAGAGCCATATTGAGAAAGGTGGAGACAGGCATACTTCGTGCAGAGTGCAAGCATCAATTCAGAGGTCCCAGGTAGTTAGCATCCTTTATATATTTTTTCCAGGTCATACCGGTGTGATTGGAAATGAGCAGGCAGATAGATTGGGAGCGAGTGAACAGTGCGGAGGCACAGATAGATCATTACAGTCTAAGGAGAATGGGGCGGCAGGGATCAGGCACATGCTCAACACTCAGGGGAAGGATGAGACCCATATAGAATCAGACGGTTACTGGTACCATCGGAACTGGAACTCTTCGCTTGCTGCTGAAGTTAGGGACGAAGCACTTATGCGAGTGTCCTGAGTGCTGTGATGTCGACTCTTGAAGTGTTGATGCAATTAAAATATACAGACCCAAATACCTCCCGACTGACAACAAAACTGTCTACCGGCCAGCCAATGGGCAACCTGGCCACCAATGATAAGGCAGTATATGACTTTCAAAGATACAGCACATCATGTGCTGCTTTCAAAATATTTGACCAGATTTCTTTTGCATACCTGGACCAAACATGAAATAAATAATAAAATATTTAAAAAACCCATTAATTTATAACAATAATAATATTAAAAGGTACTGTGTACAAACTAAAACAATACATACTGAGCACCCCCATGTCTGAATCAAACAAAGTCTTCAACTGATAATTTCAATCGGATCTGTGAAAGCGCAATCTCAAGTGTTTCCACACATCACTTCAACGGGTGCCCACAAGTACCATCAAGTTTTAACAGCAGCTAGACTTGAACCTGTCCAAAGTCCCTCCAACTGTCAACATATGGTATTACACTGTTATCTCAATTTTATTATAAACTCTACATCAAGCAAATGGGCATTAGTAACAAAGTCCAGTGACTGAACTTTGAATCTGGATGATACATTGAACTTGTTTTAAAGGGTTGGTAAAAATAATATATACTAGTGTGCAACGGTTGATTATGTGCTAAGTTCAAGTTATATCTTATCTCACAATTGACTATAATTTCAGTTTTAAACCAGAAGGGTTGCACAGAATATCTGTGATAACAGGACTACAGCTGTCATGTCATGTAGCAGGTCCTTTGTAGAACGTCGCTCTTATCACTGTCTGCCTAAAAGAAACTCGGTCTCTCGCCTGATCCCCCACCTCGTGCACTTTCCTACCCAAGGTGTCACTTACATCCTGTGCCCATCTTTGTGCAGGTCTGCCCCTGCCTCCTTTTCCCTGTTCCATGCCTTCTGTTATTAGTGCTACAGTTGTACTAACTTATGTTAGAGGCAAGAAGGGTTGAAGTAAGGTATCTAGGGTTGAAGTAAGGTATCTAAGATGAAATTACTACCACTATGATAAAATCACTGCTACCATTACGACTAACACTATTTACATGAGGGAATTTTTTGCAGCTGTACCTAGTATTAAATTTGTTTTTCAGGCATCGTTTTTTTTTTTTTCAGTATTAATGTCATTAAAAAAAAAACAGTTACTGGTACCATCAGAACTGGAAGTTTGAACTTACTGATGAAGATAAGGACAGAGCGCTTATGGGGGTGTCCCGAGTGCTGTGATGTTGATTCTTAATTCAACATTCAACAAGTGCTAATGTAATAGACATTTTGTAGAGAGTAAGTAAATTAAAGGATGATTGTCAACACCTTCAGGCGTATTGGGCATATAGGGCTAGACCTACATTTTACAGACCTTTTGGCACTCAGCGGGTGATGTAGTCAGTACCTTCTGGGCCACCTTTACTTTCCAGGATGGCACCTGGTCCCCACTCAAGGCTGGGTCGACCTAGAAGCCAAGTTCATTGTTGATTCTCAGGCGAGAATCTAGCCGCTACACCACGGTGGCTCCCTTTGTGGTGAGTACAGGAACTTTTTTTTCAACCTTCTGTGGGGATTAGTGGCACCTTTTTTTAACACTCTGTGGGGATTAGTGGCACCTTTTTTAAACACTCTGTGGTGAGTAGTGGCATTTTTTTTTAACGCTCTGTGGTGAGTAGTGGCACCTTTTTTAAACACTCTGTGGTGAGTAGTGGCACCTTTTTTTAAACACTCTATGGTGAGTAGTGGTACCTTTTTTTTAAACACTCTATGGTGAGTAGTGGGACCTTTTTTTAAACACTCTATGGTGAGTAGTGGTACCTTTTTTTAAACACTCTATGGTGAGTAGTGGTACCTTTTTTTAACACTCTCTAGTGAGTACCAGCATTTTTTTGTTTCAAACACTTTGTGGTGAGTACCTGCATCTTTGTTTTACAAACTCTGTTTCCGTACCGTCACTTTTTTGTTGGGACACTTTGTGGTGAGTACTGGCACCTTTTTTTTTTAAGAACAAAAAGCCCTGTTACATCCTAATTATAAAACAGAAGGGATGAATGGGATATCACCATTATCAAGTGCCTTGCAGACTGTGCTGGGCGATCATGCTTCTCCACGATCTACAACTGCGTGTATCAGTTTGTGTGTTGACACTCCCTCCATGCCACGATAAAAGGATGTCAAAAACCTTCTCAAGTTGTCTTCCTTTATCTTTTTTCCACAAATCTTTCCAGTTGTCACAACATCCTCCAGTGCCCTCCTCCTGCTGGTGTTTGCTACAAGTTCTCTTCAATATGCATGATAAAATGACTATCACTCAGTATGTCCTAATTAGAACCAGAAAGAACTGAACAGGCTGTCTATAAAAAATTATTGTTATTGCTGTATACAGCATTAAGTATCACAGTCATTAAGGTGTAAATAGGACAATAATTTAAATAACCTAAATGACTAAAATAACTGGTTCTTTCGTAATAAGTCACCCCCGATGATGTCACAGGGAAAGTCCAATATTTTATAGGGTGGTAAGACCAGGTTTCCTGGCTCTGTGGTGTTTTTAACTACCCTAAAACTAGAACTGGACCTAACCCCAACCAACCTACATCCCATGAGAGAGTACAGTCCCATGACCTCATGCAGCCTATCAACAACACCCAAAATATTAGACAGTCTGTTTAGGATGACTTATTAGGAAAGCACCAAATAACTGATTGAAGGATGCAATTATTTTAAACTGAACACAATGAACACATTACACATATATATATATAAAACCCAATTACAACTAAGAGGTTTGCGAAAGATATTATTGATATTGAAATACTACTAGTAATACATCTTTGATGATATTCTGAATTAAGAATTTACATCACAGCACTCAGGACACCACCATAAGTGCTCCGTACCCATCTTCAGCAGAAAGCGAACAGTTAAAATTCAAATTGTACCAGTAACTGTCTGACTGTATATCCGTCTCATCTTTCCCCTGAGTGTTGAACGTCGGCCAGATTCCCTGGTAACTCTTGGCAGTGCCATTCTCCTCAGACAGTAATGATCTATCTGTGCCTCGGCACTGTTCACTCGCTCTTAAAGGGCCCTTACAACATTCAGCTTGTCATACATCAGTTCACCACCAAGTGGTGCAGAACTGGCTAGTGTATCAGCCTGATCGTTTCTTAATGCATCGGTAGGACCTGGAGAAAATAGCCAAAGGACAATAACTACCCTGGACCTTTGAAGTGATGCTTGCCACTCTGCAAGGAGTATGTCTGTCTCCACCTTTGATGATATTACTAAGACTAATAGCTATTTAAATATAATGTATGTTAACTTATGTTTCACAGTAGCAAATGTATTTATTATTGTTGTCAAAAGTATTTCGTTCACACACAGGTTTGAAATAGTTATATATGAACATATATGTACACACACATACATATGTATTATATAACATTGACCAAATATAATAAGAAATGAAGTTCTGTAGTAGTCGCAGTTGTAGTTTTCAGAAAAATATCATTTTTAACTCTTAGGGTTATAATTTGTAAATAATGTGTTTACTGAGTTTTCAGATCACATGTTTGCTAACTTATACATCGTTCTATCATTTCTTTCGGGTATTTGAATGCAAACTCGTCTGTTAGTTCATGTGTATGATAATTGATATCCGTATCTAGTATCTCAATCTATCACTATCACCAAGTGATAATGGTAACTTAGTCAATGCTTGTCTCATTAATTCGTCAAATCACAAAACATTATAATCTAAAATGATAAAAACCGGTATTACCTCGGAATTAAATGCAAATAATATACAAAATACACCTCGTATCTCCTGAAAATGAGTTTTGTTTAGACAGAAACGCGTTTCACAGCCGGTAAATACCAACACTTGAGACCTACCAGGGCTGCCGAAGTTGGAATTTTCGTGCACATTTAGAACTGTATGGCCCTGGCGAGCAAAAGTGTACTTTTTTGTACCACATCCGATGTTTTGGCACGTTCCCTTTTCTTTAACAATATAAGGATTAAAAAACTAATTTTTTTATGAAGACTTGAGCAAAAGACGCATTGATAAGATCAACGTTATTGCACCAGAAATTGTTTACATCACTTGGAAACCGTAACAACAGCTGTGCATCAAGCTAAGCGGGGGGAAATGGTACAGCAGTAATAAATAAAGCACCCTTCTATCCTAAAATATAAATGCAATATTTATATAGATTTTAGGTTACCAATGTCAGGCTTCAACGTTGACAAAAAAACAAAAACAAAACGCAAAAGAAAAAAACACCAGCTGCGAGATGAGATGATTAAGAACGTCTGTGAATAAAACTAGAAGAGACCGTGTGAGAAACGACGTGATCACAAGAACTGTTGGAACAACCCCCATCGTCAAATTTATGCTGGAACAAAGAATGGAATGGTTTGGCCATCTAATTAGAATGAAACCAACGATGCCAGCAGCAAGAGCTTACAACCTGAAAATCGCAACCTTAAGAGGCGGGGAAAGACCGAGAAGATATTGATTGAAGGAGTCACTGACACGTTGAGACTGCATAACATCACGGCATATCAAGCGACCGAGCGCGCCCTGGCTCGGCTGCCTTTCGTCTAATGAACTGTGACCCCAAGCTTCTCATATGCAGATATTAACAAACAAATATAATAAAAAGGACTAGGAATTCTATTTTTGCTCAAATACAAGGTAAAGCAGTTATGTATGTGTGTGTGTTTTTTTAAAAACATTTTAACTGTTTTTAATTACACACACACACATACAATTATAAAATATGTCTATTTCTGTGTGTTTTGTCAACCTTAAAAAAAAAAAGTACCATAACGTTGAAAATTTTAGGAGCCCTGGTCTCCACACATACGTAAGCACAGGCGGCTCATTCCTGGTTGCCAACTTACGGCAGTTTAGCTCAACTAGCTTCCCAACAAGTGGCTAAACTATTGCATCATCCAACTACGTTTGTCCATTGTTTACATCTTCTCTCGACTTACGACCTATGTGACCCACATTTACGACCTAAAAAACATGGTAATAAAGATAACTTACATTGGTCGGGTCACAAAGTTCCCGGAACTGACTGACTGACGTTTGACCCCACCATGACATCGCTCTGAGCGATAAACACCCAGTGACACAAAGTGTCACCATTCGGATGAGGATCAACCCGGGTCAGGTCCCAGAAACTCCGTTTTCCCTGTAGGGGTTATATTAGTGCGACCGACAACCGCCAAGACAAATTATACGTCCCATATTGGAACTGAAGCAGTCGAGTCGAGTACATATTACATACACATTAT